AAAAAAAATGGAGTCCAGCATTGGAGGTCACTGTCAGCCCTAATGCGCACAGTGAGCCCAAAGACGGAAGAGCAGGAGGAAGCAGACACTGTGAGTAGCACAAACCAACAGCTTTATCATGACTTTACGAAAAGGGAAAGTTTTGCATAAAGGAACTGGCCCGCTTGGTAACACTGAGAATCTAGCAAATGAAGTTGCACAAGTCCAAGTCTGTTTCAAGGACACCCAGGACCACCCCTGCATCACACATGGCGACCAGATCCCAGCCTGCTGCATTAGGTTTCCATAAACTTGAGAGAGACATTATGAAACAAGTGCTGGGAAACCCTCTGCTAAGTGAAGGTGCCTTCTGTTTGTGTTACCCCATAAAATTATAGAAAGAGGGCTCCACAGCAGACCCCAACGCAAACATATGCTCTAGATGTGTGCAAGACACCTTCAGACAAAAGGCACTGTCATTAAGCTCCAGTTAAGTACAATACATAGCATATTTGTTAATGGTGCCGGCTTTGAGAGAAACAGACCAGGGTCTATTCCAGCTCTGTCACTAGCTGTTTGTCTCTGGCAAGTTAACGAATGTCTCTGAGCTTCACTTTCCCCATCTGTGAAACGTGAATAGTAATTCATGCTTCAGGCTTGGTTGTGATTATTTAATGAGATAACATATTTTGCACTTAGTCAAGGTCTAATACACAGCATAATAAATGCTGGCTGGTGCTACTTCTGTATAAATGTGAGTCACATTCATAATTATAACTTTTCTAGTAGGCACATTTTAAAAATCAAAAAAAGCAGGTAAAATTAACTTTGATAATTATTTTTTACTTTACCCAAGATATCCAAAATGTTATCACTGTAATATATAATGAATATACCATTATTATTATTATTATTATTATTATTATTATTTTGAGTTGGAGTCTCACTCTGTCACCCAGGCTGGAGGGCAGTAGCACACTCCTGGCCACCGCAGCCTCGACCTGCTGGGCTCAGGAGATCCTTCTGCCTCAGCCTTCCAAGTAGCTGGAACTACAGG